CCTATGTTTACAAATGAAGGTGAAGTCTAAAAATACTGAGTAACTTGCTCAAGGTCACACAGCTCATGAATGGCAGATACTTTCCTTGGCGTGTAGGGCACTTTCATCAACTTCACAGGCACGTGCCTGCCTTTTCTCCCAGGAATACCAAAGAGCCATTTGTGTTCACATCCATCCTCCTAGAAAATTGGGTCCTCGTGGCTGCTCCGATGTAACCCGCTGCTGCCCTGAGAATTGTTTTTTTCTGCTCTTTTCATGCCTATGAGCACCTCGCCACAACTTGAACTGGCTGAGGCTTGGCTGTCATCTTTGTCTGGTTTGATGTATCTGACTTTCTTTGATCTTGATTCAGATTAGTCTCTTTTTTTTTTTCTTTCTTTGCTGGTGACGGCGTCAAAGTGACTGCCTTGTATTGTTCTTCACTAAAACTGCTCAGACTTCCTGTAGAAACTTGGTGACACCCACCCCACCTTTCAGTAGTATCTCCTGTTTTCCTATGCGCATCCCTGCACCCCCAAGCCTGTGGCTGGATTAGAGTCTGACATGTCCAGGCAGAAGCCATTTTGAAGTGCTAAGGAAGGTAATTTGTCAAGTGTGTCTAACGCTGCGGTAAGAATTCTTAATAACTCCCTTTACATGTATTACTAAACTCCAGTCTAGGAAATGTTAATACTGTAAGAAATAATAAAAAAAGACTTGATTCTGAGATTTTATTTATATTTTTAAACGGACTACAATTTACTGCCCAAAGTTGTTTAGCTCATGCTCCTTGGAGAAGGGCCTTTCCTTTCGGGTGCTTGTAGCATGTTGCTTTGTAGATGTTTACTGTCACCTTCCAGCAACATGTCGTAGAAGTGGTCTTCTTCAGTTTGCCCTCCAAAGCAAACTTTTTTCCACGACTCCCATTCCTTTCAGGAGCTTTCCCCCAACTCTTTAAAAAAATTCTGTCAAGTCATCTCTTAATACTTTCTCTCCATCATCCACTAAGAGGACCAGGGCATCGAGGTATCTGTGTTGGTGGATTTTTCATTCAAAATATCTCTAAATATCAGGTACAAGGGTCCTTCACCAGCACCTTGTTCTAATACATCATCGCCGCCTCCCCTCTGAGCACAACAGCCACTTTCTGCCTCCTGTCTCTGCATACATCAAGCCTCCCTGTATACCACAGATAAGTTAATTTTCCTACGACATTACTTTTATTATGTCATTATGCCTGCTACTGCCTATTTATTAGGACCAGACTCTTCCACCTGGTAACTGAGGACTCACACAGAGGAGGTTTTTTTTTCATGTTTTCTCTGCCTGGAGTTATCCTTTTTAAAAAAGCTGCTTCCCCCATTCATCTAAGTAACCCTTCATCCTTCAACAACCCGCTTTAATGTCACTTCCCCTGTGAAGCCTTTTCTGAACTAATTAATCATTTCATCCTTTGTGTTTTATAACATCCATCATATTATAATACAGTTAGCTGTTTATCAGTCTTTCTCTTACGCTTTTGAGTTCTTTAAGGTTAGGATCTAAGTCTCTGTCATATATTTCCTCCCCAGACATAGCACAGCATCTGGCACAGAGGAGGAATTTAATACACATTGGTTAAATGAATGAATAAAAAAAAAAATAAGGGAGCCTTTCTTTTTTTCTATGTGTTATTCTCAACTCCGAATTTATTCATACTTTCTTTACCTAGCTAAAAAGTCTTGTGGTAGGATTTATTCTTACTATTAACATTAAACTTATTTAAACAAATTTTAAAGTTCCACATTTACCTTATTGTGCTGCTTTTTGAAAGTGATAGAATAGCTTATCATGGTGACCTTAAAATATGAACTAGAATAAAACCGTTAGATATGCACCATAAATATATTATTACACACACACACACACACACACACACACACACACAACTTTAAAGTTCCTTCAAGCATCAGAACAAATTCTATTTCTTTCATTAAACTTTGTATAAATCTATTTTACAGATTTTTTTTCCCCCTTCAGATTTCCTTTGGCATTTCTAGTGTATAAGAGAAAACCATTATTTTGTTCACTGTATCCAACTATTTTGTTTAATCTCTTACATCACATTAGAGCCAGGATTTCTTGAACTTTATTTTGAAACTTTCTCGGTCTCAGATTCACAGTAGGCAATTAATCAATACTTTGTAATTGTTGCTGTTACTATTATTGTAGTTGTGGAGGAAGGTGGGGGGAGGGCTCCAGCAGGTGATGGACAAGCTAAGTTTTTTTTTTTTTTTTTTTAATTTTATAGTGACACAGGTTTTTATAAAAAATTAGCAGCTTCCCTCCTGGAAACTCTTTGTAGTTTTGCTAAATTGGGTTTGCCTCTGGCTAGAATTTTCTTTTTTTCTTCCTTAATTTAAAGTGTTCTCTCTTCTGAATTTTGTGAGTGTTCTTCTGCCAGGCTTTTCTTTTCTTCTTTTTTCCTCTTCTCTTTTAATGCCTTTTTTCCCCCTCAATTAAGCAATGTCATTCTCTCCAAAAATGTAGAAAATGAATCTTTTGCTAATGACTCAACATTACTAAATTTAAGCAGTTTCTTGAAATTCTACTGATGAGGTAAAGGTTTGTTTTTGTTTTCCTTCAGAAGCATGAAGCAACATATCATGTATAACTTATATATTCTTAAACAAGAGAATTTCATTTTAAGACATTTACTTTAAGTTTCACTTTTGTAATTACTTAGCCATTCACTTTATAGCATTTAAAAATCATATTGTTAGCAAACCAAGATACATGCACTAAATTTTCATATTGATCAATATATACTTACTGGTGCTAAATATTAAAAATTAAATTTGAATAAAATAGCATTTTAAGTTCAGTTTGCACTGTGGTTTCGATCAGATGTTTGTTTGAGTTACATAATGGAGTGGGCAGTCACTATTTAAAGAATTAAATATTATTTTTTCTTTGGAATGAAAACCACATCTTTAATTTGTATTTTGTATAAATAAAAGTGTTCATTGGTCAAGTTGAAGTATGATGATATATTCCAAGTTCCTACCCATTAAATTCAATACCAAATAGTTGTAATGTGCATTTTAAATTGAATGAGTAACAAGATTGCATACCTGCTTAAGAGTAACATTAACATGTTTATTTTGGAAATACATGATTTTCTCTTATTCTCTCAATTTAAGCCATCTGTCTTTTTATTCTTAAAATTTTATTTTTTTAAAAGATTTTATTTATTTATTTGACAGACAGAGATCACAAGTAGGCAGAGAGGCAGGCAGAGAGGGAGAGAGGGGGAAGCAGGCTCCCCACTGAGCAGGAAGCCCGATTCGGGGGCTCGATCCCAAGACCCTGAGATCATGACCTCAGCCAAAGGCAGAGGCTTTAACCCACTGAGCCACCCAGGTGACCCTATTAAAATGTTAAATCCCAAGGTCCAATCTCACTCTCCTTAATTTGTCTTGAATTTGGAACTTAATTTGAGAAGAAATACAGTATTAGTTTATGTCATATTTGTCAATTTGTTGTAAGTTTGAACTTCTCATCATGGGCTCTTAGGGTCTGAAGCAGACTTCTGGAACCAGTTCAATCCCAGTTCAGTGGGACCATTGGTGTGAGACTCTCAGACCAAAAAAGGACTGAAGAAATTAGATCTGTAGTCCACAGAGTATAAAAATATGCTATTAGAAATAAGCATGATAGTATACAGTTGGCTGGAGAACTAATTAAATTATTGATTAAACATACTAAATCATTGAACAAATGGTGATGAAGTAAGATGCCTCTTTAAAGCCAGATTTAAAGAACACACATATATAATGGCTAGTTAACTATTCCTTTTTTAGCATATTTATTCTCCATTTCCATTTTTGTAAAAATCCAGGATTGGTGTACTCCCAGCTTGAAATTACAACTCACTCAGAAATAACACGCTGTTTATCTGCTGGCTCAGAACTAGAAGGCTCCAGGAGTGAGCTCAAAATTAGCTATAGCAATTTAAGTGTTGCAGTCTTTAATCTCGGTAATGATACTCCTCCAGTCTGAACTACCTAGGGGCTATTTAGCCCTCCTTATCTCCTGCAACTTCTTTTCTCTCTCCCTCCTCCCTCAACGAAGGCGGGAGGCCAGAGGACTAAGAGCTGCTAGCATTTTTGTTAACAAAACCCTAGCTGTTTCTTTAAAGCAGGCTTCTTAAAACAAAACAACAGAGAAGTGCTTTTTCTTTACAGTTTATTTCTAACCTAACAAATCAGCTTTTATCAGAGCAAATACAAAGGTCTGAACATCACACAGAATAGACATCTGATGATTTCCTTTGTTTTCACAACTTTATGAGAATGGGTCATTAATACCTGTTGAGCTCTACTTTATGTTCGTTATCCTGAAGTCACATATATATCCACAGATATTACAGTTTTATGTCATTTTGCCTTTTGCTATTTGTTGGGGTCTCTTGAGGTTCTTTAAGAAGATAAATGGTGTGTGTGTGTGTGTGTGTGTGTGTGTGTGTGTGTGTGTGTACTAGAGAGAAAATGAGGTGGGGGGAGGACAGAGGAAAAGCGGACAGATTAGCGAGAGAGAGAGAATGAGCTGTTGAAGTGGTACTACCCGTAAATGGTATAAATAGCAAAATGGCACTGGAACCCAGAAATTTAGTTCTTATTCCTCTGTTGAACTTAACGAAAAAGGTTATTTGGGACTGGAACTGTGGGCTGGATCCTGTAGAACACACAAACAAGCTTAGTCTGTTTCACATATGTGCCCACTGTCTGAATTTGCTCTAACCGCTGTTAAAGCACCGTCCACTGTTTTAAAATCTATTTAAGGCCCATTGTAGCCCACTGATTTTGTTTCATGTTGCTCTCAAATCAACCACCTTCATTTCAGAGTAACATAGAGGCATTTTATTTACTGGGCTCTCCTTGGGACTTCAGTCTCCACTGACGAGCATCGTCAATGAAGTAACACGCATTCTGTCATAACCACGAACCACCTATGATATTGCCCCATCTACTGTATTGCAGGAAAAACAGAGGTTTCTGACAGATGTTCTGCATGAAGTGATGCTGCTTGACGGCTTGGCCAGTTCCCACCCAGTATCACAGGAAGTGCTGCGGGCCACAGACATTGACCGGGTGTTTGACTGGATCGCCTATAAAAAGGTGGGAATAGATAAGACCCAAGCACCAATTGGATATTTCACTATCCCGGGGCGGCCCAGCTATTTCATGCGAGATATATTCTCTCCGTCCTGGCTGATAGAAATGGACTGAGTTAGAAAATATAGAGTCACAAGGTTCATGTCATTTTATGAGTTAGGGCTTTGCTTTATAAATCAGCAAGATGGAGATGAATGTTTGCCAAATAATGCATAGAAATGTTGGAAGTATTAATGAATAAATGTTTGGAGCCTTGATATGAAATTGCTGTACAAATGGTGTTGTGTCAATGTCAGTTTTTATTATTATTAATAAGAGAGCTGACCTAAACAGTGACAGATTATTTGTCATCAATGCCCCTTAAATACTTAACTTGTTTTGCTTGGCTGGTACAAGTGGGTGTAGGCAGTGACATATGTATTTTATAAATATTATTATTTAAGGGACATTTAGGAGATTAAACATCTTTCTTGGATAATAATCATGATAAGTGAAATTTTAAAGACTAGACTTTGAATGACAAAGATTTTGGACCAATGACTAGACACAGAAATAAGGCCCACTCTGCACTTTTTCCCATTGTTACGTGGATTAAGATTTTTCCTGTCTCTATCCCTTAGTTGTTCTCATTTAACATAAATATGTATATCTTTTTGTTTAACACTTACAGCTACTTGGGAATTGTGAAAATAGTGTTAAAGTCTCGTTCAACTTTGGCGTAGATCGAATTGCATTTACTGGGATTTCCATTTACTTTATTGATTTAAGTTTTTAATTGATTAAATTAATGTTTTAAGTTTTTAAGAACTGTTGCTAACATTTTTCCTGATATATTCCTATTTACAACTAGAGGTGAAATAAGGTACACTAATTTAGATTTTGGTTTTGTACTCATGGAATGACTATCTCAATGACTATGAGTTAATATTATATGTTATGATATGTAAAGATACAAATTGTGTTAGAAAATATCTTTTCAAGTCATGGATCTTGGCATTGGCTATAAAAGGTTTTCTGATGTTTTGGAAAAATAAGTGGAAGTATAGAATCATATTTAAAATATATGTTACTATATTTATGTAAAATATCAAAATTTAAAATATGTATTTTTTATATATGAGGTTTTTTTACTATATATTTTTAAAACTCTTTGAATTTGGTGTAGTTAGTACATACTTCTATTAGTTTTGGGGGTAGAATTTAATGATTCATTAGTTGCATATAACCCTCAGCACTTATTACATCAAATGCCCTCCTTAATGCCCATCACCAATTACCTCTTCCCCCAACCACCTCCCCTCCAGCAACCCTCAGTTTGTTTTCAGTGTCTCTTATGGTTTGCCTCCTTCTCTATTTTCATGTTATTTTTCCTTCCCTTTCCCTATGTTCATCTGTTTTGTTTCTTAAATTCCACATATGAGTAAAATAGTATGGTATGTGTCTTTCTCTGACTAACTTATTTCACTTAACAGAATATCCTCTAGTTTCATCCACGTGATTGCAAATGACAAGATTTCATACTTTTTGATGGCTGAGTAATATTCCATTGTATTTATATATCACATCTTCTTTATCCATTCATCAGTCGATAGACATCTGGGCTCTATTGCATATTTTGGCTATTATTGATAGTGCTGCTATCAACATTGTGGTGGGGTGCCCCTTCAAATTACTATGTTTGTATCCTTTGGATAAATATCCAGTAGTGCAATTCAAGCATGGAGCTTGAACCCACAATTGCAAGATCAAGAGTCACTTGCATGCTCTACTGACTGAGCCAGCAAGGTACCCCCATCTCTTGCGTTTTTGTTAGTAGCCATTCTCTAACAGTTATGTAGTAATGTCTCATTGTGGGTTTGGTATGCATTTCCCTGATGATTAGTGATGCTGAGCACATTTTTATTTGATCAATTTTCTGTCTTCTTTGGAAAAAAATGTCTTGTCACATCCTTTGCCCATTTTTTTTTCCTTTGTCCATTTTTAATTAGATTATTTGTGGGGTTTTTTGGCTATTGATTTGTGTGAGTTCTTTATACATTTTGTATATATTGCTCCCTTATGCAATATATATTTTGTGAATATTTTCTCCCATTTTGCAGGTTGCCTTTTCAATTTATTGGTTCTTTCTTTGCTGTGCCAAAGCTTTTAGTTTGATGTAGTCTCATTTGTTTATTTTGCTTTTGTTGCCTGGGCTTTTGTTGTGTTATCTAGGAATTCATTGCCAAGACTAAAGTCAAGGATCTTTTCCCTTATGTTTTCCTTTAGGAGTTTTATGGTTTCAGGTCTTACATTGAAATATTTGATCCATTTTTAGTTAATTTTTGTGAATGGTGTAAGATAAGGGTTCAGTTTCATTCTTTGGCATAGGGATATCCACTTTTCTCAAGACTATTTGTTGAAGAGACATCTCATTGTGTGTTCTTACTGCTCTTGTCACAAATTAGTTGACCACAAATGCTTGGATTTATATCTGGACTCTCTGTTCTTTCTGCTCTACTGGTTCTTTGTAACCAGTTTTTGTTTTTGTTTTGTTCTTGTCTTGCCAGTACAATACTGTTTTGATCACTATAGCTTTGTAAGGTATTTTGTATCAGGAAGGGAGATACCTCCAGCTTTGTTCTTTTTTTCGCAGAGTTGTTTTGGCTATTTGAGATCTTTAGGATATGGAGATCTCTCTCTCTCACTCTCTCTCTCTCGATATATACTCTTGATATATAGAAATATAGATATTTGAAAAAAGCCATTGGAATTTTGATAGGGATTGTATTGAATCTTTAGATCGCTTTGGTTAGTATAGAGATTTTCACAGTATTAATTCTTCCAATCCAAGATCATAAGATATCTTTACATTTATTTGTGTCTTTCTCAGTCTCTTTCATAAATGTCTTATGGTCTCAGTGTAGAAGTCTTTCATCTCCTTGGTTAAATGTATTGCTAAGTATTATTTGCCTTTGTTGCTATTGTAAATGGGATTGATTTTTAAATTTCTCTTTTAGATAGTTCATTGTTAGTGTATAGAAACACGATTGATTTCTGTATGTTGAATTTGTATCTTGTAATTTTACTGAATTAATGTATTAGTTGCACTTTTGGTGGAGTCTTTAGGGTTTTCTATATCATCTACACAAAGAGATAATTTTACTTCTTCCTTTTTGACTTGGATACATTTTATTTCTTTTGCCTGGTTGGTTTGGCTAGGATTTCCAGTACTGTGTTGAATAGAAATGATGAGAGTGGGCATCCTTGTCATTCCTTATCTTAGAGGAAAGGATTTTAACTTTCACCACTTTGTATGATGTTAGCTATGGGCTTGTCTTCATATCTATGTATCTTTAAGTACCACTGTATGCTTTAAGTACCACTAAAATACTGTCCTTCCTGTGTGTTTTCAAGTGATGATAGATCTACTGGATTTTTCAAAGAAGATTTTACAAGAAAGAAATTTTAACAGCTATACTGAGATATAATTAAAATACAGTAAATTGTACATGTTTAAAAGGTACAGTTTGGGGGCGCCTGGGTGGCTCAGTGGATTAAAGCCTCTGCCTTCAGCTCAGGTCATGATCCCAGGGTCCTGGGATCGAGCCCCGCATCGGGCTCTCTGCTCAGCAGGGAGCCTGCTTCCTCCTCTCTCTCTCTCTCTGCCTGCCTCTCTGCCTACTTGTGATCTCTATCTGTCAAATAAAATAAAATAAAAAAATCTTAAAAAAAAAAAGGTACAGTTTGATATAGTCTGACAAACGTATACACAGTGAAAACATCACCATGATCCAGTTAATGAGCATATCTATCAAATGTTTTCTCATGCCTCTTTTTAATCACTTTCCCATTATTACTGTTTCCTCCATTGATCAACTTTGTCACTATCAATTAAATGCATTTTCTAGATTTTATATAAATGAAATCATACACATGTACTCATTTTTGTCTGCTCTCTTTCACTCAATGATTCTGAGATACATTCATGTTGTAGAATATATGGATATAATACAATTTCTGCATTTTCCTGGATATTTGGGTTGTTTCTAGTTTTTATCTGTTTCAAATAAAGCTGCTATGAACATTTGTATGCAGCTCTTTGTATGTATATTTGCTTTTATTTCTCTTGGGTAAATACCTGGAATTGGAATGTCCAGATGATATGATAGGTATGTTCAATGTTTTAAGACTGATGATCTGTTTTTCACTGTAATTGTACCATTGTACCATGGTATATTCCTGCTGAACCTGTATCAAAGTTCTACTTTCTCCACATCTTCAAAAGCATAAACATGTTATAATCAGTTCTCTTAATTTTAGATATTTAAAAATATATATGATATAATATAATAAAATATATAATATATAAATTATAAATAAACACATTTTATTTATTTGAGAAAGAGAGAGAGAGAGAGAAAGAGAGCATGAGCCAGGGGTTCGAGGGGCAAGAGAAGCAGACTCCTTGCTGAACAGGGAGCCCAGCATGGTGCTCAATACTGCGACCCCAAGATCATGACCTGAGCTGAAGGCAGACGCTTAAATGACTGAGCCACCCAGGCACCCCTAATTTTAGGTATTGTAATGGTATCTCACTGTAGTTTTGTGTTACATTTCCATAACAACTAATGATACTGACCAGTTTTTTCACTTGCATATTTTCCCTCATGTATCTACATTACAGAAGAGTCAGTTCAAATCCTTAGCCCATTTTTTTTTAATTTGATTGTTTTATTACTGAGCTTCTTTAAAAAAAAAGGTTTTATTTATTTATTTAAGAGAGAGTGTGAGCAGGGGGAGAAGCAGAGGGAGAGGGACAAGCAGACTCTGTACTGAGTGTGGTGCCCACTGTGGGGCTCAGTCTCAAAACACTGATATCATGACCTAAGCCAAAATCAAGAGTTGGACGCTTGACACACAGATTCTTCATATACTCTGAATACAGAATCTTTATTAGATATATGATATGCAAATAATATTTTCTCCAGTTTGTGACCTGACCCTTATTTTTATAATAGTGAATT